AAGTATGTCTAATTATATAGTTTCTCTTTAATAAATGACATATTTAGATTTTAGACCATATCACATAATATCAACTTTTGTAATTTATAAACAAAGATTTTGTCATGGGATTAATATGCTATGTAACTTTTTTATGATAGGTCTCGAGTTCAAATTTTAAATATAGAAAAAATCATGTTGGGAGAGTTTTCATCTAAAATAGGTATTATATTACGTGAATTTGAATTAGTCGAGGGATTCTAATATAAATATCGGACACCTTATTGTAGATCTCTTTTACAACTGCAAAATATAATTGATCGAGCATATATTAAAATTATATTCAGAGGCGATTGCGAGGTCATAAAATGAAGGCCTCTGTTTCTTTCGTTGAATTTTGCATAACTTAATAGTACATTTGAATCTTTTTCTATATTATATTATATTATATTATATTATTATTGAAATGATTTGACTCACATACAAAGAGTCTGATTGACCAAAATAATGACAACGAAATAAAAGCAGAAGAGTACCTAATTTTTAAATTAATAAATCACTAAAAAAAATTAATTTAGTTGTAAACTTTATTGCTAATTCATTGCTACATTACTCATAAGTCATAACTGACAATTTTTAAATACTCATCACTTATCCATGGTCAAATAAGATTAACGACTAATTTTATTTGTTAATTATAGAATTTATCCGTTGTCAATTTCTTTTAAAAAAAAAAAGAAGGAAAAATCGTTGTAATTTTCCTTTCATCATATTCTAATTTGTTTTGGTTTACAAAATGTTAGAGCCACAAATTCAGTGACTTGTTTTTTTTCTACTTAACCAGAAACTTAGGCCCGTTTGAATATGTGATATAAGACTATAATATAAACTTAAAATTTTATTCGGGTATGTAATTTTAAATTTTTTAACTTGTATATTTTCTTATAAACATGAAAATTCTATAAGTTGTGAAAACTATTTTTAAAAAATCAATTATACAATCTTCCAAATAAGCAAATCATGGTTCATAAACATGATATCCAAATATCGTAAGGCGCCACATTGATAAATCATATATCTCCGTGTTTCTTTTATAAGTACATGTTGCGATTACAAACTTTCAAGTACAAATAATTTTATAAAGATTCATTAGTCAACAATAATAGTAACTAGTTATTCTTTACTATAATTTTTTCATGTGGTAGTTGGTATGAACAATCTTATCATGCCAAGTATGAGTCTTTTTTATTTTTGGGAATTTTAGTTTTGAAATTATGATTTCAAATCATATATTCAAACAATATGATTTCAAATCATGATACGAAATTGCTTATCCCAAAATAACTTTTATTTAAAGATCGTCAACCAAATAGCTCCTAACGACACTTGCTTACGTGGTCATTTGGGCCAACATTATATGTTTACCCTTAGTTTTAGAATTAGGGCTTCGGCCTAATGGAAAAAATGTAACTCGTGTTGTTGGAAATAGAATTACAATTTTATTTATAAATTTGATAGAATTCAATAATTTTACCTTAAATGATATATTTGTGTTAAGAATTTATTTAATATGTTTAAGTAATTTATCTAAAATTTAATAAACAGAATGTATTTTATATAAACTCATAAATATTGTGATGCGTGACTTAAACATATGTCACAAGTTCAAATCTTATTGTAGATGAATCTGATCTCACCTACTTTGAAAATTTGTAAGAGTTTTGTTAATAAAAGTCACACATAACTCCTAATAGAACTTTATTATATCTAACTAAATTAATTATTAATTATTATTTGATTTAAATATTTTTCAATCATTTCGAAACAATTAGCTGCAGATCATTTGAAGCACTATGCAGGGATGTTTTTGAGGTTTTTTTTAGCTGCGAAAAACTAACTAATTTATAAACTACTGTTTTACAACCTCAAAAACAAATATTTTTAGAATATGTATACAACTTTTTTTTTTTTTTTTTTAAGAATAATTTACACGAAATATGCACGCATAAAACATGTGTCAAAAAATTAATACATATACTAAAGACACGAATAAATATTTACTCCTTCTCTTCTTCATTGGTAAATTGTTGTATTAGGAGGTAGGGCTTGGACTTAATGGTAAAAACATAATTCATAATGTTGGGGTGGGTGGGTGGGTGGGGGGGTGGGGGTTGCAAAAATTACAATGTTTGCGTATTTAATAGAATTCAATAATTTAAGCTCAGATGATGCATTTGTATTAAAGATTATTTAGTATGTTTAAGTAATTTATTTAAAATTCAGTGAACAAATAATAAATGTTTTTTTATAAACTCATAAATGATGTGATGTGTGACTCAAGCATATGCTACGAGATTTACACGAGTTTAAATTTTACTACAAATAAATTTGATCTCGCTAACTTTAGAAATTTGCAAGAGTTTAGTTAATCAGATCCACACACATGAAGCATTCAAGTGAAATATCGATCTACACACATGAAGCATTCAAGTGAAATACCATACATTTGTATGAAGAAAAACAAAAAATCAAATTCATGGAATTTAAAATTACATGGGACAAATTCTTAAAGATTTTCCATTTACATGAAAAACATTAGTACATGGCAAAAACAAGAAAGGAGATGAAAAGACAGAATGATAAAAGTACACGCACCTTGACTAATTTAGTATTAAAGAAGAATGTACATAATTAATAAGACATAATCAATTTAATTTTTATTAAATACGAATAATTTAAGCACTCACAAATTTTTTAGCAACTCTTAAAAAAAACTTCATTGTATCTAACTAAATTAATTGTTAGTTTAAATATTTTTCAATCATTTCAAAACAAGTACATGATCATTTGAAGTAGTTGGATGAATGTTCTTTAGGTATTCTAGATTTGAAGAACTAAGTGATTCTCAAATACTTAAATTACTATTTTATAACTCAAAAACAAATAGTTTTAAAATATGTATAATTTTTTTAAAATAATTTATACGAGATATGCACACATAAAATATGTGTTTAAAAACTAATATATAGGAGTATATTTTTCAACACGCCAATAAGTATTTACTCCTTCTCCGCTTCATTGGCAAATTGTTGCATTGGGGGTTAGGGGCTTAGGCTTTGATCTAATGGTAAAAATGTAACTCTTGATGTATGCGTGAAATTATAGTTTTCTTAAAGATTTAGTTAATATATTTAAGTAATTTTTAAAAATTTAGTAAGCAAATGGTATTTTTTTTATAAATCCATAAATGACGTGATGTATACGTCATGAATTTAATTTTACTATAAATAAATTTAATTTCATCTACTTTGAAAATTTGTAAGAATTCAGTTAATCGAATTCACACACATAAAGCCTTCAAGTGAAATACTTAACATTTGTATGAAAAAAATAATCAAATTTTAAATTTTATAGATTTTCGAAGATTTTTCGATTATGCGAAAAATATCAGTACATGGCAAAATCAAGAAAATAGAGGAAAAGATCAAAAGGGTCCTTTGAACATTTATTCCTATTTTGTATTAGTCTTTAATTTATGTTCCTCATAAAAAGTAATATCTCCTTATTGTATGTGGCATTGTTATAATTTGATATACAATTTTACTTTTTTTACAAGATTAAATGTATTTTGATTTGATACGACTTCGTACTCTCCAAAAAAAATAAAGATATTTACTTCTAAGTTAAATTTGGAGATATAAATCTTCTTTTCCGATCTAAACAAATACTCCATCCGTTCAATAATAGTTGTCCACTATATTAAAAATAGTTGTCCAACAATACTTGTCTAGTTTAAAAAATCAAGAGATAATTTACCTTTTGTGTTTATTTTACCATTGCTATTATTAAATAATATTTATCATCTAACACATTTCTCAAAAATTAAATTTAATAAGTCAAAAGATAAAATAGAAATATTACCCCTATTTTTTCTTTAAAGTTTATTTTTAATTACCGAAAGATTATATTTTTTTAAAGGACATACCTAAAAGGAAAAAGTAAATTGAAATAGAGTGAGTAATGTTTTCCACGGGACAAAAATCATTTTATATTTTCTTATCATAATATCTCACGGGACATAACTTCAGTTACATATTTACATTGAAAGATCAATCCATTTAAAGAACAAAACAAGTATTTATTGTATGTTATGCTAAGCATTACATCACAATTACGATGGCAATATTTCCCTCTATTTCCGAGTTCTTTTATTTTGACTATATAAAGCAAATACCAAATTCTTCATATTCTCTATCAGCAAAACACACCAGGCAAATTCCTCTTCTATCTCTGTTTTAACAGAAGACAAAAAGGTTCCATCTCTCCTCTTAATTTCTTTTTTAAAACATCTTTTTTATTAATTCTATGATGATCTTGTTACCCTTTTCTGTTTTTGTTGGTGTTTTATAATCTAATTTTCTTGAAAAATTGTACTACTAGGAAGTGTTTGAGTTTTGAATGGTTTGTTTTAAGGTGTGTTTAGCAAAAGGGCAAAAAAAAAGTTGCAATTTTCATTTGAATTCTTTAAAAAACATCTTTTTGACTTGTTATCTTTTTATGTTTTTGTTCTTGTGTTATGTAATCTAGTTTTCTTGGAAAATTAGTTTTACTGGGAAGTGTTTGATTTTTGAAATTAGTCTAAATTGTTTCTATAAATGCTGATTTTTTGTTTGTTTTAATATGTGTTTCATTTGAATTCTTTTAAAAAAACATCTTTTTGATTGATCTTTTGAATTAATACTATGATGTTCTTGTTGCCCTTTCGTATACGGACTCTCTCTATCTCGAAGGTCTGCATTATACTCTATACTTTGTTATTGTAGGTTCTTGTTGCAATTTTCTATTTTCATTCTTTATTGAGTGATATATCCTCTGGTTTTTCTTGGAAGATTAGGCTTATTAAGAACTGTTTGATTTTTGAATTAGTGTAAATTGTTTCTATCAACTGCTGACTTTTGGTTTGTTTTAATGTGTGTTTAGCCGAAGGCAAAAAAAGGTTCCAACTTTCGTCTGAATTCTTCAAAAATACATCTTTTTGAGTAATGTTTTGAAGGTTTGTCATACTCACTGAACTAATTTCTTGTTACCCTTTTTCTATTGTTTTTAAAAAAAATTATTAATGAGTTATTTAACTCTGGTTTGCACCGAAGGATGTGACGTAGTGGTCAATGAAGGGGTTAAGAACTGTGAGGTCTTAGGTTCGTAATTTCTTTCATTTTAGTAAAAAAACTTTATTTTTTCGATGATGTTAAACTATATATATATATACCAAAATATTTTTTAATCTTGTGGTCTTAAACCTATCACGTGGAAGTTAAATTTAAAAATTGACAAAAAAGAAAAAAATATTAATTAATGTTTCAAAACAAACTAAAAAAAAGACAAATAAATTAAAAATATAGAATATTTTTTTGTTAAAAAGGCTTATAATTACTAAAAAAAAAATTGTGCCTTTCAAATTTTCGCAGATGCCTCATTTTTAAAGGCATTGAGCCACCCATGTAGATATGCCGTGGAATTAGTCGAGGTGGGTAGGAAAATTGGTCAGTAGTGTTTGATTTTCTATGGACCTTTGGTTTGTTTAATGTTTGGTTTGAGTTTCTGGTGTTGTTAGTCTTTAGTGGTTCTTGTAAAGTTATTGCCTTTTTTGATATGGAGTCAATGTTTCTGTTTTTTCCTTGGAGTTCAGTTGATTCTATGAATAAGGAAAGAATTAAAGTATAGTGTTTTAGTCAACAACATACCCAAGTGGGGTTTGGAGAGGGTAGAGCGAAAGCACACGTTACTCCTACCTTATATATATAGAGAGAGGTTCTTTTCGATAGACCCTTGGCTTAGAAGAACAATAACGATAACAAAATAATGCGAAATGAAAAACTATACACAACATACAGTAGAAAGGATAGTAACAACAACGAAATAAGGCGATAACCAATCTTTTAGGAAATAAACAAACACGATGATTCATTACTAGTCAAACTGTTCACTTCTTTTTCGTCGTGTTTCATTTAATTTGTTATTGACTGTATATTGAAAAAACCAGGAAATTACTGTTTCAACGCGTACCTTAGAAAAGAAGAAAATACTTTTTTTATATGGAGTCTATGTCTTTCTTTTTTCCTTGGAGTTCAGTCTATGTCTCTCTTTTATTTGTTTTCCAAAAAAAAATAAAGGGAGAAGGGGAAAATATGTACTACTTCTTAATGAGGGATATCTCCACTCTAAATTGCAAAGTTGAGGGATATATTTTCCCTGTTTTCCAAAAATAAAACTAGAGCTTTGGTCATTTGTACTGCGGCTTTATTGCTTTTCCATTTCTGTTTGTCTGTTTTCCATTTCTAAGGTATGAAGGTTGCATCTTTTTTATTTTTCTTCTGTTGTTTGCTAACTTAGGTTCAATGTTACATGCTAAGTAATCAGTAGAACTGGAGATTTTTGTTTTCATCCAGTGTTTGGTACTGCATTGGGGTCCCAAATTAATCTGCGTAAGGCCCATTATTAAGGGAAGCGCTAGCGCTTCCTACCAGGATTTTTCTTCCTACCTCAATCCGAGCCTTTGGTTAAGGGTGCCTATTGAGAGCTGAGGGATGTTTATGAGTTAATGATCTGAGTTATCTTTGTAGAGATATTTGTTTGAGGTGCTGGTTGGGGTTAGAAACAGAAAAATCTTAATCTTATTAGTAAAGAAAGGGGAAATCAATGTAGACCTTGTTAGTTGTGGAAAGCGAGGGGAAGATGTGTGGGGTGGGGTAGGGGGTGGAGGGGTTGAAGATAAACAAACACGAAGATTTATTCCTAGTCAAACTGCTCACTTCTTTTTCGTCGTGTTTCATTTAATTGTTATTGACTGTATAAAGAAAAAAACAACAACCTACAGTTTCAAAGCTAGCCTTAGATAGACTTTTTTTCCCCACAAATTAAGAGGTTGAGTTAGGGAGATGGAGGTTGAAGAGCATAGCAAGCCGTGCTAGCCTAAGTCAAGGTTTGATAATTTGTCGGTTATCTTGCTAATTCTTCGTGATTGTGCTTGAATTTGAAGATTTATCTCTTTGTTTAAAGGAAATCCACTGTTTGTAGTAATATAAAAGGATATTTGATGTTAAGGGTATCATTTTATTCAAAAAATCAACAATGAGGCTTTCTTTTTATTATTTTTCGATAAGTTTCTAAACCCTTGGTAAATCCACTACTGCCTTTGTGTTTTTTATCATGTCATTTTCGGAGTTATCGACCAACAAGTCTGGTGCATTTGTTGGCTTTCTTTATTCATTTACTAAATGCAGGTAGTTATGTTGAATCCTCAACTAACTCGTTATTCCTCATTTAGAACTGCAACAGCAACTTCATTAATTAGACTCCCTTAACGTTTTCCCTAATTCTTTCCTATATATGTGTCTTGGTCAAGGAGAGAGTGGCAACTTTTTCAAATGTTAGATTTACTGATCTGATATGCATTTCCCATTTCTCGAATGCTTTAGGCCTTGATGAATGATCATACTTTGTGTATTACCATTTTTTTTGGGTATATTCTTCTTTTGATTCTATCCTTTCGTAATTTTCCATCAAAATGATGTGGAATCTTGTCATAACATTTCCTAATTCTGTGTTGTTTTGTTTATGAGCATGAATATTGTCCACAACTTCTTTGCCACTGATCAAAATTGCATTTTGGCTGTAAAAGGAAGGCTTTTTTGTTATATTGTGACAATCTCTTGTGATCTTTAGTATTCGTTTTAAAAGTTTGATCTCACTAAGAATACTGATCATGTTTTACTTCTTGGCAGATTTTGCTCCTCTGACAACTGCATCGGCAGTGTACTGGAGATATCCATTCTAGCTCTAGTGCTTCAGATTCAGCAGTCATTCTCTTCTGAAAGAACCTTTGGTTTTTGAGATGTCGTGAGTAGTCTTAGTGTAGACATTTGCTGATCAGTGTCTTCCTTTGGCACAGCCCACAGTGAGTGAGTTACTTATTGTCAGATGCAAGCATCTCAGGGACCTCAAAGGCCATGTGGTGTACATAAATTGTACAATCAGCCAATGCAGCAAGTTCAGCAATACTACACCCCTTGCCATGCTTCTGACAACAGCAATTTTAACGATGGTAGCAACTCCGGAACAGAGGTTTCTTTAAAGACACAGAATGAAAAGTTCTTCACTATGGACTCATTCCCGGCTACTGACTGTGCCATCTACGATGCAGATCCTTCCGTAAGCGTCTCTTCCAACAGGAGTCCTTTCTCTCCTCAATGTTCTCAGTCAAACATGTTTGAGCAACGTCGTTCTTACGAGAACACTTCTGGTTCACCTGTAAGTTTGTGTTCAGGAGTTGATGACAGCAACGGAAAGAAGCATGAGCTGCGGGAACTGAATAATAATTTGCTAAGGCCTGAATCCGATATTGATGACAGCTGCAGTTGCTCGTTAAATGGTGTAGTCTCAAAACATTTTTCCTTGACAAGGCAGAACCAAGTATTGGATGTAGCCTCAAGATTGGACTTGAAAGAGTTGCTTGTTGCCTGTGCTGAAGCAGTAGATGAAGCTGATACCTCGACTGCAGAAGTTCTGATGAATGTTTTGGAGAAAAGGGTATCGGTTTCTGGGGAACCTATGCAACGACTCAGTGCATACATGTTGGAAGGTCTAAAAGCACGATTATTGTCCTCCGGAAGTAACATATACAAAAAACTTAAATGCAACGAACCAACTAGCTCAGAATTGTTGTCCTACATGCAAGTTCTCTATCACATCACCCCTTACTTCAAGTTCGCTTATATGTCCGCCAATGTTGTCATAAGCGAAGCCATGAAGAACGAGAATAGAATCCATATCATTGATTTTCAAATTGCACAGGGAAGTCAATGGATGTTCCTCATCCACTATCTGGCTCGTCGGCCTGGTGGTCCGCCATTTCTCCGCATCACAGGCGTTGATGATTCCCAATCAGCTCATGCACGCGGTGGTGGACTTCAGCTAGTCGGCGAAAGGTTAGCGAGCATTGCCAAGTCCTGCGGAGTGCCTTTCGAATTCCATAATGCTGCATTGTCAGGCTGTAAGGTCAAACTAGAGAACCTACGAGTTAGACATGGAGAAAGCCTGGCAGTTAACTTCCCTTACATGTTGCACCACATGCCAGACGAGAGCGTAAGCACTATGAACCATCGAGACCGCCTATTAAGACTAGTCAAGAGCTTGTCTCCCAAAATCGTGGCCCTAGTTGAACAAGAAATGAACACCAATACTGCCCCTTTCCTTCCAAGGTTCCGTGAAACTCTAGATTACCACAAAGCAATGTTCGAATCAGTCGATGTAACTCGCCCGAGGAATGACATGCAGCGGATCAGATCAGAGGAGCATTGTATTGCACGGGATGTTGTCAATCTCATAGCATGTGAAGGGGCTGATAGAGTGGAAAGGCATGAAGTTTTTGGCAAGTGGAGGTCAAGACTTTTGATGGCTGGATTTACACCATGCCCACTGAGTCCATCGGTTGCTGAGACCATCAAGGTCATGCTGAAGGAGTATAGCTCAAATTATAGGCTTGCTGAAAGCCAGGGGGCGCTTTATATTGGATGGAACAACAGAGCTTTAGCAACTTCTTCTGCTTGGCAATTACCTCATTCGTTGCCTTTGGGATCTTGATATTAGCATTTGGAAGAACAGAAGAGCCGAGACTGTTTCTTTGAAACTTTTTTCTTGTTAGAGAGGTAAGTCTCTGAAATCTCGAGCTTGTAAATCCCAGTGTAGGAATTAGCAGAGGTAGTTAAGCTCTTCTATAGTAGACACCATAAACTCAGCTGGCATCTGTTTAATCAAACATGAAATTAGCAGAGAATTTTGTTGTAATGAACCAAACTTACCAGCTTACTTAACCAGAAGTTTAGTTTGTTATGCCAACTTGTAATGATAAATCTGTTTTGGGCATAAAGTTTCTATCTTATGTTTTTCTTTTAGTTTTTACATGGTTCTCTTTGATTTTCATTTGTCCCGATCGTAGTTGAAAGCTATATTGCTCCAACTCTCCAAAAATGTTGTCACACATGTGTCGAGTCTTTCATAACTGCACTACTTTTGGAGGATTTGACACACCTCTATCGACATTCTTGAAGAGCCCGAGCAACATAAGTAAACTTACCAGCTTACTTAACCAGAATTTGGAACTTCTGTTGAACTTGTATTCTGCTGTGCCAACTTTGTAATGATAAATCTATTTTGGCATCCTTTAAAGTTTCCATCTTATTGTTCTTGTTTTTGCTTATATGCTCTCTTTGTTTGTCATTTGACCTGAGCATAGTTGAAGGCTACTTTACTCGAACTTTGCAAATATATTGTTGTACCTATGTCGGATCCTTCAAAAATGTGCTACTTTTGAAGGATTCTATATCTCATTGTTCTTGTTTTTGTTTATATGTTCTCTTTGTTTGTCATTTATCTCGGGCATAGTTGAAGGCTACGTTGCTCGAACTTTCCAAATATGTTAGTTGTATCCGTGTCGAATCCTAAAAGTGTGCTACTTTTTAAGGATGTAATAGACATATCGACATTTTTGAAGAACTTGAGCAACATAGGTCGAAGGTATGAACACTAGTGCTATGTCTAAATATTTTGACTTGAGGTCTCAAGAGGAAAACGGAAAAAACTTACCCGCATTGGATGTATACACTAAACTAATGCAATTTCCATTATTACGTGATTTAATGAAGTAAAACATATTTTAATTAATTATGGTTAAGTAAAATGAACTATAAAGTTAAGATAACAACTAATTCAAATTTGCGCCTAAGATCCATTATAGGGGGCCTGCTAATATTTTTTCCATTTTTTAGGGAAAATTACGTAAAAAGACCCTTCACTTAACCTCAAACTAAAACTTTTGATTAAAGATGAAGCATATAATCTAAGCAAAAGTTATTGGAACGGTTTGAGAGGGACTGTTAATTAGTTGTCATTTTATTTTATTTTAAAATATATATATTCCAATATTTTATGATATATACAGGTTATAGATTTGTCACCAAACCCATATGTGTTGTAGTTATTGAATTTATAATTACAAATATTTACAAATATTAAAGAAAAAAAATCCGAAAACAATCATAGAATCTAAGCAAAAGCTATTGTTCATTCAAAGTCCAAACACATGCCTAATACAATAGATCCTCCTTTGAAAGATAGTTTTCCAAATCTAACGCAGTAAATTTACCCCTGCAGAATAGTTTTTCTCGTTAATGTGATGTGAATAGCTTTATGCTGATTATTCACCTATCAACTTTCCTCCTTTATCTGATTTGAGACTAACTAACAATATAAATAAATTCACATAGTCGACTTCAATTTATTCAAGAATTGAGACATAGTTGTTGAAGTATCTTTACTCATCAATCCCTTTCTTGTTGTTTGCCTCATCCATGTGATTGTATTAAATTTACATCCTTTTGGTATTTTGTTTAAATTAATCAAGTCTTAATCAATTAATTGTTCTGTTCTTTTTGTGGGCCAAAAACAACAAAAATTTACTCAATTAAATTATTATTATTATTATTAGTATTAGAGGATGTGACAGGGTGCCACCGTCCAATGTTTGAGTTGGGGTTCATCCCTTTCCTCCACATGAAGAAAGCTAAGCCACAATTACTTTTGAAATGATTAATTAAATTAATTTGATTCTCATTTTAATTACTGCTATTAATTACCTAAATTTCTCTTTCATTTTAAAAAAATAGTTTTAAACCTTTAATTACTTCTAGACAAATATGAGATATATGGGGGTGAAAAAGAAGAAGCATGGAATTTGAATGTGTTTGAATTCAACTTTTTTGTTGTTAGTCAAATCAACTTTATTGGATGGTTAAGTTTGATTTTTATATTTAATGATTTGATTTATTAGTTATTAACTTTTATACGTATTAAATTGCTATCGAACTAATAGATTATTGGTTGCTTTGGTTCGACTTAACAATTATCCATCATTATTAATTTTGCAATTGATTAATTGGTTTATCCATCGAATATTAATAAAAAAAATAGTGACTTTTATGTAATCCACTAGTGACTTCTCATCTAACGGCTTGCACCATCATTTTGGAGACTTGGAGTGAGCGGCGAAAGGAAACAAATGTTTTGGGGAATTTTTTTTAGAGCAAAATAGTGTTATTGATTGGGGTGCACGTGTAAAATAATTTAATGAATTACTATTTATCTTATATAAAAATTAGGCTATCCGTTTTCGAAACAATAACACAATATATCCAAATCATTAAATTGATAATGTGATAAATCCGATAACATTTTTCGGAAATTAGAATATAACTAGAATTAGAATAGCAGCATTAGTTTATTAAATACATTGGTTAATTTAGTAGATTTTACACAAATCTCATCGAGTTAAGATTTGGTGGAATTCGGATACATCCCAAAACGTCCTGATACATCACATCTCGATTTCGGATACATCTCTCAATGTCCTAATACATAATGTCTCAGTTTCGGATACATCACTCAATGTTTCAATACATCGTGTATGTCCCGATACATTGCATAAAATGATGTATTCGACTAGTACATTGCGTAAAGTAATGTTCCGATGCATCATGTACGTCTCAATATATCGCGTAAAGTGATGTATCCGACTGAAACATTACGTAAAGTAGAAATTTTTCTAATTTTTTCAAGTGGTAGAGAATTTTAGATAATATAATATAAGTTGTGTATTTAGATAATTTTTCTTAATTTGAATCTACTTTTATTTCAAAATTAAAGTACAAAAAATGTGTGAAACATAACAAACCAAAACTTTTATTATTCATTTTAGATCCCAAAAAAACTATTTTGCATCACTTTTATATGCATGTTTGATTATTCGTTTTAAAAAAAAACTAATAGCACAAAAGGAAAAGGGAATAAAATAAAAAGAGAGACATTGAAAAAATTGAGAATCAGTGGGTAAAAAAATAAAATAAAATGAAGGCAATACTTCCACGTGGTTAATAACAAAAGGTCACATAATAAAAATAATATTTGAAATCCAACTATTCTAAATTAATCAAAAAGTTTTATTTTGAGAATAAAACGTTTTATTCTAATGTTATTTAAATTCATTAATCGAATTCAAGACGTTAAGTTATTTTGAAGGTTTTTAGAGATAATAATAGAAATGTTATTTAAATTATTTCTTTTTCCCAAAGTTTCCTACATAATAATGAGTTGTTTTCTTTTTGTATTTAAATTATCAAACACATTTTAACTATTAGTTATTTATTTTTTCTATCAAAATAAATGAAAATAAATAACAGTTGATATATATTATTATTATTTTAAAATAGGCAACTTTACCGTTGAAATATATTTCAATACATAAAATAGATTGAAAAAAAAAACGAATAATTAAAATGTGAAACTCGCTAAAATAAATAATTTAGACCATAAACTATTTATTTTTCAAATAGTACTTATAAAATAAAGGGAAAATAAAAAGTCTCCATCTTCCACCCTCTTGTCAGCTTCAACATTTCTCACCAAGAGATAACCAAGTATAATATAATATACTAATATACTTTAATTAAATAGATACAAATATATAAGTATAGTAGTTGGTTATAACTTATATATGCAAATTGTATATATACCTATAATAATATATAATACGTATAAATTTTAGCCATTTCAGATTGTCAATCAGTTTTTTTTATACCACACTCTTTTTTTCTCTTACCTTCATCTTTTTCATTGATAAAAACTCCAACAATTTGAGACCAAAACTGAAAAATCTTAAGAAGAAGCAAAAAATAATAGAGAGGAAAAAGAAAAAGAGGGCATTTTAGCCCTCTGCCTTTTGCTTTATGCCTCTCTAGCAGATCTTGAATTTCAATCTTTTTTTTCTTCAATCTGAGCCTTCATCTTTTTGGTAAATTTGACCTCTTTAAGTTCTTCCATATATACATATTGATATATTTTTGGATGTTTCATATTAAAGATTCAATCTTTATGGATTTATCAGAATTCTGGTTTGTGGGTCTGTGTCTGTTTTCATAGTTATTGGATGTTTGATGGTAAAGTTTCAATCGGTTGAATTAGAATTCTGGTTTGTGGGTCTGTGTCTGTTTTCATAGTTTTTGGATGTTTGATGATAAAGTTTCAATCTTCATGCTTTATTCAGAATTCTGGTTTGTGGGTCTGTATCTGTTTTCATAGTTTTTTGATGTTTGATGATAAAGTAAAGTTTCAACCTTTTTGGTTTATTCAGAATTATGGTTTGTGGGTCTGTGTCTGTTTCCATAGTTGAATATTTCAAGTCAAAGCTTCAATCTTTATGACTTTTTCAAGAATTCTGGTTTGTGGGGTTTGTTGAATTTGGATTTGGTTGAAGATTAGAGATCTCTAGTTGAATTGTAGATTATACATTCTTTAATTGAGTATTGTAATCTCCAAGTTCTTAGTAGTTTCTTTTGTTTGAGATGATATTGTTTTTTTACTTCTAGTTGTATGATTCAGGTATCCGTAGTTTCTTTTCTCCGATGTGTATTAATAATCTGTTGCGACATTTGTTTTGTATTTTGCTATTTTGTTGTCTTACTTTCCTACATTGGTTACATTTCTTTAGAGTTGAGGGTCTATTGGAAACAAACTCTGCCCCACCAAGGTAGAGGTAAAGGTCTGCATATATCCTACCCTCCCCAGACCTCACTTATGGGATTCTTGTATGATTACACTGTGTATATTGTTGTTGTTTAGATCCTATGTTAAGCCTTTTGCT